ATCTTCAGTAGTTACTAAAATATCGCAGTTTTCGTATTTCTGGAAATTACCGTTATATGGGAAGTGGGCGTGGTTACTGTTTGATTTCGCCCATTTTCAATACCAACCTACCCTGGATTAACAGAAACCTACATACCAAATTCCGTTGAGATATCTCAATTTTTGCTCGAGTTATCGTGTACACGGACGGACGGACGGACGGACAGACGGACAGACTGACAGACGACGGACGAATCGATTTCTCTATTCATTCTGAGCATATATGTATACATTTGCCTATATCTATCTCGATTCGTTTTGGCTGTTACGAACTACTGTTACGTGAACAAAATTAATATACCCTTGTGCACAAGTGCGCTCGGGTATAAAAATGTCGGCTAACATCTTTTGTTTTCCAGATATACGTTTTATCAGTGTACTTGCAAAATATTCGCATTCGCAGAAGCTCCGCATTGATTATTGCGAATGCGAATGTTAAAATTTATGCGGAAGTTCCGCGGTTGCGAATGGGAATATTCGCAACAACCCTGATATGTACATATAAGTGAATTTGCAGGTCAATGTATAAAAGATTGATACTCAATAACCCTGCAAACCAATGTTCCTGAAATCTTAACTAAATCTTTAGGACTGTCTCATTTCTCTAACGAATTTTTTACGAATCTTCAAAGAAAATTATATGAAGTGGTTGATACGAACTCGTAAAGAAAGTTCTGTACGAAAAATAAGGAAAATTCTGAAAACCTTCTGCAAGAAATTCTTCACATAGCAGCATTTTTTTCATTGCCTTACCGATTTTCGCTCGAAATTTCGTAAAAGATTCGAAGTGTCCACAATTTATTTCATTTTAGAAAATTCGGCAAAAAATGGGATGAGACCTTTAGAATTCCTTAAAATTTTTCTACAATACAGATACTCAAAAAAAATGTTTTACAGGGAAGCTTACCTTCTCTTCAGTTCAATACTCTTATATCGACGTTCAAATAAAACTGAGACTTAGTGCAAATTGAATTGAAATACGTACATAAATAAAATAAGACAATCTTTTTGAAAGCTTAAATAACACTGCTATTTGAAACATTTAACTTTTATGTACAGGTCAGCAACATCCGCGCCTGGCTCGTGGTGAGTCTTATTCATGTGGGTATAAACCGTATCGGTGTGAAATTTGTAACTATTCGACAACGACCAAAGGGAATCTCTCCATTCACATGCAATCGGACAAGCATTTGAACAATATGCAAGAGTTGAACAGCTCACAAAATATGTTGGCGGCCGCGGTGGCCGTAGCCAGCAGTGGGAAGACGGATGTCGCATCGAAATTGTTGCTAACCAACAATATTGCAGCTGCTCAACAGCAGCAGCAATCACAAGCACAGCAAACGCTAACACAGTCCCAGCCCCAGCAGCCACAATCGTCGATTGGCTGCAACTCGGCAATCGTGGGCAGCGGAGGGTCATCTGGGAATGGTAGTGGGCGTAATAGTGTCGATGCATCTGGAAATGCTTGTGGTATCCTCAATAAAAGTAAGCCGTCCTTTCGTTGTGACATTTGCAGTTACGAAACATCAGTGGCTCGAAACCTACGCATACACATGACCAGTGAGAAGCACACCCACAACATGGCTGCCCTGCAAAACAATATCAAGCATATTCAAGCGTACAGCTTCTTACAACAGCACCAGCAGGCTGTTGCTGCTGCCGCTGCTCAACAACAGCACCAGCAACTAACGGCAGCATCCCAGGCTGCTTCCCAATTGCCAGCTCTGGGCAGCGGGTTAGCCAGCGGCTTTATACCGGAAATAGCTTTGGCCGACTTGGCATATAACCAGGCACTCATGATACAATTGCTGCAGCACAATGCCGCAGCCGTTAGCCAGCAACAGTCGCAACAGCAACAACCTCATGAATCTGTGACCAAGCTAAAGACTTCGCCGACCTCCTCTCCGCGTCCCATGCAAGTTGAGCAGTCAACAACTCTGCCACAACAACAACAATTGCAACAGCAACAACAAATTCAACAATTGCGTCAACAGTTGCAGCAATCGTATTCCCCGAACAGCGGTTCGCCCACACTGTTGCTGTCTACGGATCCTTTTACTACCAGCGATATAAATTTGTCTTCCAGTGTTAGTGGCGGCTGCAGCGGCGATGAAACGCTGGAGCCACCTGTCCGCGCCGATCCTTGCCCCACAAGTCTTTACACTTGCTTAGTGTGTGATTTCTTCTCCTCGAATAGTTTAGACGAGCTTAATCAGCATTTATTGATTGATCGCTCGCGAAATAACTCCATGACAACAAACGCGAGCATCGCCGCTAGTGGCAGTAGTAGTAATGTCAACAGTTCTGTCAACACAGATATAATGGTCATTTTAAACAATAACTACATATGCCGCCTATGTAACTACAAAACAAATCTGAAGGCAAACTTTCAGCTACATAGTAAAACGGATAAACATCTTCAAAAACTGAATTATATCAATCACATACGTGAAGGTGGGCCCCAAAACGAGTATAAACTTAAATATCTGCAGCTTGCTGCTAACACGGTGCAGCTAAAATGTAATTGCTGTGATTTTTATACGAATTCCATCCAGAAGCTTTCATTGCACACGCAGCAAATGCGACACGAAACGATGCGTATGATCTTCCAACATTTATTGCACATCATGCAACATAATAACTTTGAAAAGACCAAAATACAACAGCATTCAAAGTCTGCGGGTGAAACCGTTAGCAGCATACGCGAGCCACACGGCGGCAACATTGCGCGCGACAATACTACTGGGGACACTCAAGGCAGTGCTAATACAGCAACGGACATGGCAAAAACAACCGAAAAGTCATTGACATGCCAGTTGTGCAACTACAGCGCGTTTACTCTACTAAATATGATCCAACATGTAAAAAGTCTTCGTCATATGCAAGTAGAGCAATTTGTGAGTCTCCAACGTCGCAGCGAACAACTGGACCCACCTAGCCTAGATGACGTCTTCAAGGTAGTTGAACAACCTATATTGCAAGCATTGCCACTTTCCGCAGCTGCTTCTCCAGAAGGTAAGTTATTTGATTATTAAAATGATTTACGATTCCCAATATACTTACATATATATCCAATATTTAGGACCGTCGGGAGAAAACTCGAGTCCGTGAGTTTTTAGTCCGGGCCCCTATACATAAATTTTATTAATTTAAACGAAAATTATAATTTTCTTTAATTTATAGGGTATATATTATATATATTTGTAATAAAAGCCTGTAACGAAGGAGCAATTTCATCTGATATTATCGGTCCCTTAAAAAGCCCGGGCCCGGGGGGATTCAGGGCTATCCGGAATCTATCGTAGAAAATCTACGAATTCGAATGCCCGCTACGAATACGAAAAAAATTATATCACTGAATCCGAGTGAACTCGAAAATATCGTTGCCAGCTTCGAATCAGTGTTGCCGCAAATCTTTTTAGTGGTAGTCAAATTCCTTTAAAAAACGGCTAAAAAGAGTCGTTGTGGCTCAAAATGGTAGCTAAATTTTTTTACTTACATATGCATATATATATAAGTATACACGCAAATAGGGCTGTGCGATTAATTGATTACTCAAAATTTTAATTAATCATAAAGTAAATAACTCAATTATTCGATTAATTGGAAATTATGATTACTCAAAAGTTCAGTTACTCGAGTAATCAAGATTTTTGATTAACCAAAAACAAAAATATTTGAGTAATTTGCTTTATGATTAATCAACATTTCGAGTAAAATGAGTAATCTAAATTTTTTAACTCTTTACATATGTATAAAGTAGTTAAAGTTCCTTGATACCTTAAAAACAACGTTTCTGTTTTCAAAAATTAAAACAAAAAATTTTTTTCATATACAGAATGTAAAAAAGGAAATAAGCATTTTCCAAAGCAAACTCTTTTAACGAGCAAAATTATTTTTTTGAGTAATCATATTTCAAGTAACTCGATTAATCATCGTTTTGAGTAATCACAATCTTGATTACTCGAGTAATTGATTAACCGAATAATTGATTAACCAACTTGCTCGAGTAATCGAATAATCGCACAGCCCTACACGGAAACATTTTCTATAAGTAATGGAATAGAAAAACAATGAACTCTGAAAAAAAAACTAATATTTTATCCAACCAAAAACCTTTTTGTATAAAAGGGGAAATATACGACACCAGCTTGCTGGCTCCATCAAGTGATTATACTACCATCAGGCGCGAAGCATCACAGCGCACGGCAGTGCGCGCGAGTGACGAAAGTAGCCACAGTAGCATGCTGAAATGACTCGCTTATATATACACGAGATTTGGAAGTTTTTATCCAGACGTCCAATCGACATGTTTGAGATATCATTGGAAAGGTCTTGCAGAGTGTGTCCAGAAAATGTATTCAAGCTTCATAAACGATTAACCGGATACACCCAACATATTTAGTGTTATTCTATAGGCCAATACCTTTCAAACGATACCTAATATATTAACTTCCGGCTACTAGTTGGAAAGATATAGAGGTAAACGTGTTTTGGTTCGTGTCTCCACTTCGATATGCTTTGGTATGTATGTCGCGTCTGTACGTACCTTCATTTAATTTGTTTCAAACTTTCAGGAATTAAAGTACAAAACAACTAAGAAGGTTTTGTTCCAGGAGGTTTTGATTCGTATGCCTTTGTGGGTGTTGCTGCTGCCAGAAATTCGAATAAAGGCAATCTTTTAAACTACCACTGAGACCGCACTACTCAGTCCATGTCATTGATGCGGATATCAGTAGAAGGGTCTTCAAACAAGCTATCCAACGCTATCTTTTGTGTTAATAAAATATAAATATGTCATAACGTTATCGCCTAAAAACTAAAAATCGGGCTGCTGAAAATATACATTTCGGTCATTTTCCCAAAAACTGGTTAGTCGATTTTATTCTAAGTTTACACAAATCTAGCCCAAAACCTAAGCTTTCATCTGGTATATTCCCTACGTTTCAAAGGCAGTTAAAAAATCGGTATAATTTTCGTCACGAAGTTGATATCATAAATTTTGTGTTTCTAGTTCAGCTTTCGTCACTCGAAAATTTTACCTTAAAGAGGTGTTTTATTCGTTATCAATTATTTTGGGGTAGCGAATTTATAATCGACGAAAATACAAACAATAATCTAAATGTTTTATTTTTCTCAAATTAATTGCTAAAAATATTATCTAAATCTAAATTATGTATTCAGATCGATGTGTCCATTGAAACATATAACTTTTGAATACGGAATAAAGCAAAAAAGAATGATCATATCCTTTGTATTCGAAAAAAATTCAAAAAAAAAATTATGAGAAATGACAAAAACTTATCAACTTGGTACCAACTTTAGATACAATAAACAACTGTATTCGTCTGATTGTCTCGTAGTTTATTTTTGTTAAGATTTCTACCGGGTGCGGGGCGCACATATGTGCTTTTTTTAAGAAGTTTTACTTCTATCACGTGTACGGTGTTGCACTCGTACTATTAAACTAATGCTTTTTTCCCAAGTAGTTTTGCTCGTATGGTCATTCTGCAAAACCGCGTAACTGTCATTAGCTGTCAAAAATTAGATTTGCTCACACAAGCTCTTGGCTCAATCCTTATCCATTCGTCTTGAAATATATTAGCCAGAAATGCGATTGCTTTATAAAAACGAGAACCATTTTGAAATATGAGTGTTTTTACTCTCTAGAAAATAATTTATGCAACCTCGCATACGCGGTTTTGCATTTTGTTGATACGCGGTTTTGTACTTTAAACGACGATATGTATGTAAGTAGTAGCGGCTCAATGAGTGAACTAAATGCACTAACAACTGTAGGTAATATTGTACGCGTCTTCTCAGTTAGGTTAAGTGCGGGTGATGAACCCATGTAGCATATTTAAATACTGTGTACATATCTGCAATTAAAATGGGGAAAAATGTTACAATTTCGGCATATGACTGAAAAAACTCTTACAGCACAGCTGCATCCTTCAACTTGTCAACTCGCGGGAAATTCCCCGATTTGCAGGGAATTTCGGTTTAAGTGGCAATCGGGGAATAGTCATTTTTTCAGAGAACTGGGTATGTTATTTTTATATCTTAATGTAACTAAGTTAGACGGATATGTTAATTTTTAAGCATTTGACCCTTTTTGGAGCGACATTTTTTCAATTTAAATCGCAGTATCTCCACAACAAGAGTTTTCTCAGATATAAGCGATATACCAGATGAAAACTAAGGTTTTAAGCTAGATTTGTGGAGACCTAGAATAAAATCGACTAACCAGTTTTTGAGAAAATGCTCGAAATGCATATTTTGAGCAGCCCGATTTTTAGTTTTCAGACGATAACGTTATGACATATTTATATTTTATAAACACAAGTTATAACGTTAGATAGCTTGTTTAAAGACCCTTCTACTGATATCCGCATCAACTACATGGACTGAGTAGTGCGGCCTCAGTAGTACTTTCAAAAATTGCCTTTTTTCGAAATTTAGGCAGTAGCCACGCCCACAAAGACATACGAATAAAAACATCCTGGAACAAAACCGTCTTAGTTTTTTTGTACTTTAATTCCTGAAAGTTTGAAAAAAATTAAATCAAGATGCGTACAGATAGAGTTGCCAGATTTTTTTGCGCAAAAGCAGTAAGTTCGACTTTTTCCTGCTTAAAAAATCAGTACTTTTCAGTACATTTTTATTCAAAGCAGAATTATGAATGTATGTAACAGATAATACTTTAAAACGCCGGAGAACGCTTTTTTGACAATATTTTGGTATATCTTATATATAACAAGTAAGTTTTAGCAAAAAAAAACCGACTTCAACTCTCATATAAAAAAAAATATATATATATATATCTCATGATCCACTGATCGGATCTTAACCAGATTAGTATGGGACCACCTCTGAGACACTACCTTTTCCATGCAAAAAGAATTATCGAAATCGGTTGACGTGGTCCAAAGTTATGCGGTAACATACATACAAAAGAACAAAAAAAAAAAAAAAAAATACCGACGAACTGATAACCTCCTCCTTTTTTGGAAGTCGGTTAAAAATAACTGCACGTTTTTGGTGTGACCTTATAACTTGAGAACGGCTTCACCGAATTCAACCAAATTTATGTGGCATATTCAATCTATCATGCAGATGGTTTATGCGAAGTTTGCTCGAATTCGGAAAAGGGGGCGTGGCACCACCCATACTAACTAAAATATAAAAATAAGTGAACGTTTTTGGTGTGATCATATAACTTGAGAACGGCTTCACCGAATTCAACCAAATTTATGCGGCACATTCGGGCTATCATGCAGATGGTTTACGTGAAGTTTGCTTGAATTCGGAAAAGGGGGCGTGGCGCCTCTATTTATATATAACAAGTAAGAAAGTCTAAGTTCGGGCGGAGCCGAACATTAAATACCCGGCGCAAGTATTAAATATATGTTTTTTCACCTTTCCGAAAGCTACCGCTAGATGGTAAACCGGGGTGTACCAATTTTGAGCACCGTCCTTAAATTTCGAAATATTGCAGTTTCAAGCATTTCTGAAATTTACCGTTATATGAAAAGCGGCCGGAATTTTAGCCCGATTTCAATAATTTTTAACAATTGTCTTTTATGTGGCAAGCACAACAACCGTACCGAGTTTGGTACAAATTGGTAGAACGGTTACCGATATACATATATGTGATCATAAGTGGGCGGTGCCACGCCCATTTTCCAAAATTTTACCATAAACATATTTCTTGGTAAAGAATTGTTGCAAGCATCAATTTTGAATAAATTAGCTTAATATTTACTGATTTATCGAAGATTTTGTATTTCTCTAAATTACCGTTATATGGGATGTGGGCGTGGTTATTGTCCGATTTTTTAAATTTTCGGCCATTTAGTATGCTGTACTAGGACCAAC